ACCAGGTGTCCTGCAAAGCCCCTTCCCATCCCTGGGCTGCTCTGTTGGTTGCTGACTGTGGGATTCCCATTGCTTGGCTCAGCTGCCTGGAATCAGAGGGAAAAACAGTTTCTCCTGCAAGGTGATTCCAAGCATGAGCTTATTTATTTGCTAAGATAATGGCTAGCACAGGAGCAATTTTTACACAGCCAAGGAAAATCATCTTCGTCAAGGCCCCCAGATCCAAGTTCTCCAGAAGGGTTAAATAATCCCTGTTGTACACTGAGACTTAAACCCCAGTGCAGATCCATTTTTTATACCTAAACAGAGATTACTCTATATAAAAATGTGGTGTGGTGCTGTGGTGTGTATTAGGGCCTAGAATAAAACTCAGAGAGCTGACAGGAAGCAGATTTTGTTGGAACTGTGTTCCTGAAATGCAAATTGCAGAAATAATCATAATAATTTCATGCAAATTATATTTATACAGATGATCCAGCTTCAGGAGAAAGGGGAGTTTGGGTAGTGCATAGCACAGAGCAGCAAACACCAAAAAACAGCATCGGGGAAGTCAAGTGTAAACTTTATTTTAAGACAGAACTTATACCTACATCTTTAGAACAGCTAATTATTCAGTGAGGAGAGAAGTGAGAGAAGAAATGGGGAAGCTCTGCACCCAAACAGCAGAGATCCTCAGCTGGCATGTGGGAGGTCTGAGTTTTATATGGATTATGCATTTTTCAGAGGTGAAATGTTTTATAGTGTGCCTTTGCTCACTTTCAGTAATGGCTCCAAGGTTAAGTGACATGTGGCAGGGCCAGACTGCAAATTCATGATAGAACCATGGAAAGCTCACATATTCCTAAACCTTTGTGATTGTGAGCTCAAACCTGCATAATTTTTATTTTAAATTACATTAGCTTCCTTTCTTTTTCTTTTTTTTTTTATTTGACCATTATTGATGTTGTTTATTGCATACATTCTGAATATTTAATACGAGTAATCTGTTTCATAGGTCATGAATACTTGCATTTTTTGTAGGCTTGTAATAATTAATCACAGGGGGGAAAAAGCCCTTGAGCCACTCAGTCCATTGGCCTGGGCTGTGTAAAAACTTTGTCCCTATATTGGATTTGAATAAGTAGTTTATGATCAATAATTCAGTCAAGAAGTTTTGACTTCTCCAGGTTTTAATTCAGCCATGCAGATGTCTCTGGCACTTTGAATATGATCAGCACTCTTTGCTTAAGCAATAATTTAGATTATTAGGGTTTTTCTTTAATCATTGTGTGTGGTGTCAGTTGTGTTTCCATAGGCACTTCTCCAGCAAATTGTAATCAAATAACTATTTATGTGGAAACCTGAGGCAATGGAGTTCTGACTGTGTTAGAAATGCTTTTTGAAGTGTCATATTTATGGAATATTTTAGTCTCTTTCAGTCAGTTCTGTGATATTTACCAGAATTTTCATTGGGCTTGAAAAGAGTTGCAAAAATCTGGCACCATTTCATTTCAGAAACTCATTCCTGATGCTTTTGGATTTCTCTGTAAGTGGGACCTAAACATATGTAGTTAGAAATCCACAGTTTAAATCCTTTTGTGATCGTGAGCAATTTGTCTCTATTTCATTAAACTCTCAGATATGCTCCCAAGTTTATTTCTGGAACTGCTCTCCTGGAAATATTTAATTTTAGGGGTACAGTGGATGCCATTTTTCTCCAATTTGAGATTGTTGTGGATTTCTAATATTTTTCATCTCTTTTGATAAGAGTAATGTACCTGGGTGTTTTGTAGAGGGACAAATGTGTGTGCAGCGCATCAGGAAAAGAGAAAAAGAAAATAAACAGAGCTTTGGGGTTGTTTTGGGTTTCCTCGGCATAAATCTCGTATTTTGCGTGCACCTCGATTGTATTGGTTTATTCACTTTGCCAAACGGCCCACAAAGCTGTGAATATTTATTTAGTGCTGTTCCTAATCGTTTTTCTAATAGGGAATTATTTGGGTACAATGAAAGACATTTGTAAATGAAGCAGATAAGCGCTTTGGCAGACAAGGAGTGTTTTGTCCAGCACAAGAATTCTATTGTCCACTGCTTTAGTTGTCAAGTGCCTGGGGAGCCCAGGATTTATGATGATGTTACAATGGCCCTTTCAGAGGGGACTCTAAGAAGCTGTGAGATTCCGTTCCTCTGCTTTTCAGACTCCCAAATCTTTTTGTGGTGCGAGGACAATGCCGGATTCAGCTGCTGCCCGGGCCGCTCTGCCATCGGCATTGTGCAGTAATTTCCCCGGGGACAATGGGCCGGGCTCTGCCCCGCTCCCGGCCGCCTTTCCGAGCGGCTCCGCCTGGCACTCGGCATCCCCCAGCCCTGAGCCGCGGCTTCTGTCGCCCCAAAAACCCTTGTCAGGCCGTGTGCTTTAAAGAGACACTGTGGCAAATCTCTTTGGAGCATTGCAACTGTTTAATGGATTTTTTTTTTTTTTAAGTTTTCTTGTAATTGTAATTGGACTTTGAAACAGCCTTCTGTAAATACAGCAGTTGGGGGCCCTTGGCTTTTTGCCCTTTTGTAAGCGTTATAAAGTTATTAGAACTCCTGAAGGCATATTCAGCTGCAGAGGAAATAGGAAAATAAAAATATTATACAGTAAGTAATAGGCATCTGATCAATGAAATGGTAATAGGAAGTAAATAGGTATCTGACACCTAAATATCAATTACTCAAACTGTTCTGTCTACAATCACAAGGATGGAAATAGTCTCAAACTATATTTTTAATGAAAATTGACATCTGGAGGAGTTTCTCCTTGCTCGATGTTAATATGAAGATTTATTTACTTCTAATAATGGTTAATGCTACAAAAAGTATCAGTTTGTAACCCCTGATATTTGTTGAAATGCAGTGTGACTGCAGAATAGAGGCTGTGATTGGCAGTGAAATGATCATTTGCCATTTATTATCTTTTATTCTTTAAGATGCTTGCAGCCCAGCCCACTCTGCGGTTCCATGATTGGTGCCTTTGCTGGTGGCCAGGTCGATGCGGTCAATGGAGCTGCAGGTCAGGTGGGGACTGGCAGTAGCTGTTATCAAATCTCTGAGGCTTTTAAAGACAAAAGAGCTTAAAAAATTGGATGGTAGGGATATTTAAGAGGATATTTTGAGAAGTCCTTATCCAAGCAAATTCAAATGCCTCGGGCATAAAGGAGTCTTGAGCTGCAAAGTCATCCATAAAGATGTTGTTTCCTGTAAAGATATTGAACAAATTCTCAAAATGAGGGAGTTTATTCAGTTTCAGTCATTCATATGAATTGGGAATTAGTTCAAAAGGGTCCTTTATTAAAAAAAATACCTGCAAAATGAATATATTTCAAAGTGCCATAGGTACTTCATAGCATGAATGTGTGGAGTACTTTTACCAACCAAGTGCTTTTATATTAGTGGCTCAGTCATCACACAAATCATCACTTCACAGAGCTTAACCTTAGCAAAATGCACTGTCTAGGAATGTGCTTTTATGGCACGTGTATCCCAAATTTTTAAAAAAACCTCAATGTATTTGCAGTCGTGAGGGGCCACAGAAGCCACATGAATTTATTTCTTCTTTGGTGGAGCAAGAGTGAAATATGTTTGTGCAATACTGAATATAAAATAGCCAATCAATGCCTGTTTCCTTTTCAACACTTGTGCTGGGAACTCTGAAATTCCACCTGTGCTGCTGAACTGTTTTTTTGCAATTAAAACTTGATAGGTTTAACAGGGGTGAAGAGTGGGTATAAAATGAAGGATTGATATGGATGAGGTGTCGTCAACAATTAAACACTACAGAAAATTACTGACTTGGATCTATCAGCCCAAATTACAGAGGCTATTTCTTAATAATTAAATAATTAGTTCTAGACATTTTCAGTTAATACATTTGGAGGTACTAGGGAATCTAGCCTGGTTTCCTTGGCTGGAATAGATCTTAGTCCTAGAATTCAGTTAGGGCTGTTTAAGTGTCTATCAGGGTCTCAAATGAACCTCAGGAATGCAGTGTCTGTACCAGTAGGTAACAACAGATCACACTGAGTATTTCCTTTGCATTCAGTCACATTAATTATATTTTATCTATATTTTACTTGTGTGGGGACATTGTCAGAAACACCTGGGATGATGAGGTGTGAAATGATGAGGTGTGAGGATGACTGCTCTGGGAAATTGTAACCATCCTTAATGTACCAATTTAAATTCAAGACTTGTCATGAGAAATGATTCAGCAGGTTTCTTCTTTGTTCCTGCTCCCTTTGTCCAGACTGACTCAACTTCCTGCCCTATTTATGAAAGAATTGTAACCACTGAAACAGCTGTAGATGAACTTCTTACAGGCAGAGGCGCCTCTTACTTGTTCGGGGGGTTTTTGGGTTTGTGATTTTTTTGGGGTTTTTTTGTTTGGTTTTTTTTTTTCTTGTCTTCTCTTATGTATTTTTTCACTACTCTAGTGGCAGTTCCACTTCCTAAAATAATCTTCTCCCTTTTCCATCATAATGATAAACCCACTAATTTTCTAATATGCCTTTAGAGCACTTAGAAATGTTCAAAGCACGTCTTGCTGGTTAATGGCATCTGCAGCTGTTCCTTTTTTCACTACAGTGTGTCTTGTCTGGGATAACATTGCCAGAACAGATTTTTTCCATAGATAACATAAAAGAGATGTGAAAGAATTTTGATACGGCCTCAAGCATTTTAGTTATGGGAACATTGTAGCAAAAATGAGTCTTAAATATTCCAGGTTGGACAGGGCTGGGGTGGTGGGAGGTGTCCCTGCCCATGGCATGGGTGGCACTGAGTTATCTTTAAGGCCCTTTCCTAACCTGGACTTCTGTAATTCTAGATAAACGCTATTTATTAATTATAAGTAGTATTTAATTGCTTGTCTTTAGACTCTCTTTAGGCTGCTGTGGTAGTTTATAGGCCAGGCTTCAGTTTCCTTTTTTATGGTCCCACCAATAGTTTGGATTTCAAATGTCGTTTTTCCTTCTTTGCAGCCAGAGCTGAAGTAGTGGCTGAGTGGCAGCAGAGGGCTGACAGGTGTCACAGCTCCTGAGGTGGCATTTCAGATGTGTGGAATATGCTACATCAACTGGCAGCAGGTTTCCAGTGGGTGAAGGTAAGTCCTGCGTCCAGCCCTGTGATCTCCTGAGGGATGTCAGGGATCCATGGCTGGGGCCTTGTTTCTGTAGTGTCTCCAATGTTTGTGCAGCATAGGGAATATTTCTGCAAGCACTGATCCCTCAGAGAGTTTAACCAGAGCTCCTGATAGCTGTCAGCTGTAGGACACAGACCATCCTTCTACCTCTGTACAGCACAGTTTGATAAGGGACATGTTTTGAATCCCTTTTGTTGAATTTCTTGTTTTAAACATCAGAGTATCACTTGAAAACTCACAGCAGTGGAACACTGAAGAACAGGAATGTAAGAATTGTTCTGATATTTAGGTTTACAGCTGGAAGTGATCAGTCAAACAGGTTTATACCTTCCTTATTCTAGTGAGTGATTAATTCCACATTTGGACTCTTTCTCTGATATTTTGTGCAATACTATTGAGCTCATTATAACTGCTCAGACTTGGGTTAGGAAAGTAACTTCATGGTGACCCTTAAGCTTCAGAGAAGGTGGAAAGTGTGGAAGTGTAGAGTTTAGGAAACTAGATGTAAAACTAGTTGGATCTGCTGCTCTGATGCCTTTAATTTTTCAAATCCTCTGTGACTTTCAGTTGTGCTGTTGCTGCAATTCCACAGAGGTGAGAATTGCTCACTTAGAGGAGTGTCCATTGTTTGTTTCTAAGTTTAACACAGAAACAGATTAGGTGTAACCGGCGGTAAATATCTAAACACTGTCATTTATACAGAATCAAAGGCACGAGCTGGCCTGAATCGTGTGGGATAAAAAGTACAGTGCCAGGATATAAAAGTTCTTTGTCTTGCTGACTCATTCACACTTTCTACATTCAATTCACTCAGGTCCTGCTTGACAGATGCTTAATTTCTGTGAAAATCCCTCAAATGACAATTATCGTATTTCTGGCAGCCAAATGGACCAACCCTTCAACATCCTCGTGAGCAGCTCTATGGGACGTGTGTGTGCTGTCCTCAGATTTGGGGAGGGGACAGCAGCAGCCAGGCTGGGTGACACCAGCAGCACTGGGCTGAATTAACTCCTGAGCAATGACAGAGCTCAGCATGGCAGATTCTGGTCCTGTCTGAACACAAAAGCCACATTTTGCAAACAGTGCTCAGCTGTTGTTCAAATCCAGTTTCTTGACAGAACGATTCTAAAGAGGGCTTGGTTTGAGGACGTGCTGACTAGGTTTCAAATTCATTCCTGGGTATCAAGAAGACATTGAGAAAATATCTGAAATTAGTTCTGCATGTCTCTGCTCCATGCACAGTTACATGAATTTTCTCACCACAGTTTTGTCTCTCTTGGCATTTTCTAATATCTCAGTTCATGGTTTAGTTCAGGCCCCTTTCTACTCCACTTGTTCTTCACTTCAGAGCTACTTCCAAACAGACTTAATTTTTAGAAATTAAAGGACTGTGAGGAATAGGCTTAAAGGAAAACAGCCCATCACTCTCACTAGTGTGTGAGATAAGTGAATTTTAACTGGGTCCCTACCCAAGTTTTATCTGACAAAGTGTTGTCTTTTTTTTTCATGAACTTCTTTGCATTTCAGAGTTAAAGCAAATAATTTGTGAAAGAAAGCTTCCTGCAGAGAGACTGTGGGATGTTCCCTCTGCTTGGAGTGTGAAGTGTCTCCCTGCAAATGAGGAGGAACAAGAGCTGCTTTTGTTGATTATCATGTAAACCTGTGACTCCATATGCTTCCTAAATTCTCTTCCCTTCTTTTGAAGGATCTTTCTTAAATTACTTCCAGCTGTGCCTATTCAGGAATGCAAATTTCCTGTTACAGTATCTGGATAATGACAAGAGTTGAGAAGGTAAAATATTCATGCTTAACTATTGTTCATGGAACAAAGAGCAGCGGGGCAGAGAGCAAGGCCCTGCTGAGCTGCTGGGGGCTGTGACACAGCCTTGGCTCAGTCACTGCAGAAGGTGACCAGGGAGCTACAGGAACTGGGAATATCCTGACTGGACATTTTCTTCCTGTGCTGCATGGATTTTCTATACTGAATTGCAAGAGAGATTGAGGATAAGCACAACAAATACACTTCCCTATGATTTTATATTATCCTGTAAAGCATCCCACAGGAATAAAGGGTCCTCAGGACCCCAAAGAAGAATACTCTCATAGAATCATAAAATCAGGGAATCCCAGAATGAGTTGGGCTGGGACCTTAAAGCCCACCCAGTGCCACCCCTGCCATGGCAGGGACACCTTCCACTGTCCCAGGCTGCTCCAGCCCCAGTGTCCAACCTGGCCTTGGGCACTGCCAGGGATCCAGGGGCAGCCCCAGCTGCTCTGGGCACCCTGTGCCAGGGCCTGCCCACCCTGCCAGGGAACAATTCCTCATTGCCAATACCTGACTGAATTTCCCCCTGTCATTGTGAAGCCCTTGCCCCTGGCACTGCAGCTCCTGGTGCAGAGCCCCTCTCCAGCCCCTCTCTCTCCCTGCAGCCCCCTCAGATCCTGGAAGGCTGTGATGAGTTCCTCAGATGGGATGAGAAACTGAAGTTCACTTCCTAAATCTATAAATTAGTGCTGTATAATGCGTACTTTGCCTCTTTCATATGTAATATTTCATTCTTATCTAGAAAGACCATAATGGGAAAACCAGGCTGTTCACAATGCACAGAGGACATCCTGGAATGAAATTCCTCTATAGTTTTGTTTTTGCACAGATGGCACGTGGAAAGAAAATTAATTTTCCTTTGGAATCCCTGTTCTGCATGTTGAACCCAGCCTACAAGTCAGAGCAGTGTTCCCCCTCCAGCTGCCTTTTATCCTGTCTCACATCTTCACTTCGCTTCTCTACAAATATCCACTTCTGTAGGTTTTTAAAACCTGAATTTTGAATTCTCAGTGTCAGCCCACAGAACAGACACTCAGTGTACCTGCAGGATTAGCTTGTTACATGTATTTTAGGATGGATATTAGTAATCTAAATGAAATAGGCTCACATGTGAGGGCAAAAGCTTTGATTTTAGTAGGATGACACTCCAAAGTACAGGGAATCTCCAGTTGGCTCTTAAAGAAATGCCTGAGAGTGAACTGTTAAGAAGAGTAAGTGTCATTTCACATAGTCTGTGCAATGAGATGGAGTCTGAATTTATTACTTCTGCCTTTTTGGTTCTCTTCAAGTCCTTGCTTGAGCTGAAAAACCTTTGGAAACATTGTTAGGATAATTATAAGACCTAATCTGGTCAAACAGATATGAAAGAAGAATGCTTATTTTGTTAGAAATCACAATGGCTTCAAAGACATCAAGTGGGGAAATACATTGTCACTGTCCTGTCTCTTATGGTCTCAGTACTTACTAACATGGACATTTCAGGTTTTCCTATCTACTTTTTAATAGAAAGTTATTTCCATGTTGCCTTGAAAGAATCTTCAATGTAGAAGAATGGTGAAATGAGTGATTTGTTTTTGGAAACAATGAACATGTACCTCAGCTGAAATTCAGCTTTTTGTGGCAAAAAAGTTTGTTCCTGGTTGGATCCTGAAACAACTGAGTCATCAGAGACTCATCCCTGCATTTTCCAGCTTTCTGGGGCATCCCAGCCATGTCTGGGCTGCAGGGTGGAGCTCTGGAGCAGGATCTGGAGCAGCCTGGCTGGGCTAAGGAATGGGAAACTCCAAAATCCCCCCCAGGATGAGATTCCCTAAGGAATTTGCACTGCAGAGGCTGCAGAGATTGGCCAGCAGAGGAGAAAGGCCATTAAAAGATTGATCCATTGACTGAAAAACTCCCCAAAACTCCAATCATTTCTGGGTCAAAATAACCTCAGATACTTGGAAATTGTGCTCCAATAAAATGAACTGGCAAAATTTCCACAGTTGCTTCAAAGGGGAAAAGTGGGAATTAAAAGTGAAATCGGAGTCTTTCTGAATCAATTTTAATGGGAATTTGTGGATAAAACTGTTGTCAGCTTTAACAATAAATACATAAATAGACAGTGTGTATATATACACACATGTATACCTATATACATATATCTCTGTGCATATATATATCTATATATCTATGTGTGTATATACATATACATATATATATTTAGATATAGTTGCTCACTTTGTATTTTAATAGTGATGGTGAGGAGGAGAATAATAGCATATTTAAAATCTATACTATAGTGTCCCCAAGAAAAAATACACATAGCCAGGGCTAGAAAAATAAACCCAAGAGAAGAGTAAATAGCATGCCTTTCACATATATATTGCATATGAAAAGATGGCTGTGCACTCAGCCTTTCAAGGTTTCACATGCAATAAAAACTATTTGAATTCTGCTCAGATGTTAGTTTGCTGTCTCAAAAATTGACATATTCTGTATGCCATAAAATAAATCACAATTTAGTGTATTTAATTCTTTTGAGGTGTTTAACCCAGCCAATTACTACGTTGTTAGTCACAGTTGAAGAAAAACTTAAAAATGTATCTTGCAGGAACACTTGCTGATATAACCATGCAGCAGATGCAGTTTCTGTGGCTTTCCTCATCTGTATAAACACTAATAAAGACACACAAGTAGTGATTGGTAAAATCTAATGTAATGCAAAGGTTTTTCCCTCTCCAGTCCTGACAACCTGCATTTGCAAGCGCTCAGTTACTTTTATTTTAAAATGGCTTTTCAATTACATTCTGCTGCTGTAGGGGAAAGCTTTTTGACAAAGGCATGACATAAACCATTTCTATTGCAGCTCCATCATAGCTTCCACAGCTAAACTAGACTGGACAGTTCATTAAAAAGAAAAATTAATAGTACAAGGTTGTAGGGAAACAATAACAGATTATGACTGGCCTGTGGCAGCCCACTGAATTCATGTAGTGGGAAAAAAAATGATTCCCTTGTCTCATAAATGAAGGTTTGTTCCAAGGTTTTAGGTGAAGTCTCTCCTGTTCTTTTACAGGAAAAAGCTGTCCAGCTTCTGGTCTGTAAAAGCAATTCTTGTAATCACTGCAGGAGAATAATGTGGATTTTTTGGGAT